TTATATCCTCCCCAGATAAATATCTACGGAATACAAGACGTACATAATATCATTCATATTTTATCGTTGTTGAATGAGGTGTTAGATTTACTCTGTTTCTCAAACATTGGTTTTTGATATTACACCAGTAATTTATTCCTTTACATCGAGGAACAAAATTATTATAGAAATGGGGCTATAGTTGTAATAAATTATTTTTGATGTTCTGAAAATACACTGTATGCTATTACGGACTAATGGATTTGTGCTCATTGTTGAACATTTTCTGGACTTAGACTGGAAGACATGGAAAATTTAGATGTTAGGAATAGTACACGAGAAAACACTGAGGGGTAGTTAACTCCTTAAAATATATACACAGATTTTAAATCTTCATTGATTTTGTAGGATTTTGAGGATTTAGAAAATCTTCACATGATTTTACACGATTTTGATAGATTCTAGGTGATTTTGAAGCATTATGGGGAAGTTAGAAGGGTTTTTAGAGATCCTAAAGGATTTTTAGAGATTTTTACGGATTTTTGGGGATCCCAAAAGATTTTTGGAAATGTTAAAGGAATATTTTTATTAGGAATTTTATAGGAATTTGCCGGATTTTTTTTATTCTAATAAAATTTTGTTAGATTTTTAAAGATTTTTAAGATTTTCAGAGATTTTAACTAGATATTACGAGCTTTTCTGGGATTTTGACCAACTTGTATACAAATTTTCATCAATTACCCGGTCAAAGTTTAGTTAACTCTATAAAATGTGGACATAATTAAATCTCTATTGAGAATTTTGAAAATCTTCACGTGATTTTACAGGATTTTAAAAAATTTTAGATTTATGAGATTTTAGGTAATTTTCGAGGTAATTTTGGATCATTTCAGGGAATTTATATCTAAAGGGTTTTAATGGCGTTTTTACCAACTAATAAATACAATTTTGTGTGATTTTGTGAAATTTAATGCGATTTCAAGTGATTTTTAAGGGGTTTTGTGAGATTTTCAGGGATTTTAAATATATCCTACAAGTTTTTCTGAACTTGTACGCAGATTTTGACCAATCAACCTGGAGCATTTTAGGGGTTTCTAAAAAGTTTTTAGAGATTCTAAATTTAAATGACAAATTTTCAATGGAAAAACGGAAATTCCTAGACATTTTACTATAAGATTTCATGATACTTATCCGAATTTCATCATATGATTCTATGGAATTCCATCATAAAATTCAATGGTCAAAAATTCCTCGGAATCACACTACTTATGAGATTCCATGAAATTCTTCGACATTCCACTAAAATTTCAAATTATTTCATGGAAATTCTGCGAAAATTTTTGTTAATTCCATAGAAATTCCTTAGAATTTCACTAAAAGATTTTAGGGAATTTCTCGAAATGCCATTCAAACGACAAATTTGAATAGAAAAACAGAAAGTCCTAAAAATTTTACCATAAGATTTCATAGAGATCGAACAAGAAATTTAATAAAATTCTTGCACAAAAATTCCTTGGAATTACAGTGAAATATTTCATGAAATTTCTCAAAATTCCACTAAAATTTTATGTAATTCAACAGAAATTACTCAGAATTTTACTAAAATTTAATTCAATTCTTCGGAATTTCGCCGAAATTTCTCGTGTTTCCATGAAAATTCCACGGAAATTCCAAGGGAATTCTTCAGATTCCATCTAATTTTACTGGAATTCCACAATAAGATTTCGAGGAATTCCATGTATTTTTAAACGACATTTCATCGAAATTTTATGTAAGTCGATACAAAGTAAAATTATACATATATAATTTGAAGGAAATTCTGCGAATATTTCAAACTTTTTTTTTTTTTTTTTTTCGAAATCCCAGTAAAATTCTCCAAAATTGTATAGAAATTCCAAATTCCATAATTTTTTTAAAACTCTACTGTTCCCCAAAACTTCACCACTAATATCCTGGAATTCCATAAAATTTTTCGGAATTTCACCTGTAATTTCTTACAAATTCCTCAGAATTTCACTAAAATTTTATGAGAATTTTTTGAAATTTCACTGAAATGCCACGTTATTACCAAAAATTTCTCGAAATTCCAATTTTTTTTTCAAAATTTCATTTATTTCCATAAGAATTTTTCGGAATTTCACCGAAATTCTCTTTCAATAGTCAGGTATTTCTGGAAATATTAATGAAACTTCAAGTAATTTCTTGAAAATTCACCGAAATTCCTACGAGATATATTGAAATTTCATAGCATTACATGGGAATTTTTGCAAATTTCACCAAAATTCCAAGTTTTTAGCAGGAAATTCCTCAAAATTCCACTTGTGAAATTTTCTCTAATTTTACTAAAATTCAGTTATTCGATGGGAATTTTTCGGAATTTCAATTTCATCAAAATACCATGTTTCTAACTGGGAATTCCTTGGAATGAAAATAAAACTCCATGTAATTACATTAGGATTTTTCGGAATTTCACTGGAATTCCTTATGAAACGATAAGAGTTGTTCAAAATTCCACTTAAATTTCATGTAATTCCCTGACAATTCCTTGGAATTCCATGCAATTTCATCGGAGCTCCATATAATTCGACGAAAATTCCTCGGAATTCATGTAATTTTTTGGAACTTTTAAAAAATTATTGATGTAATTTATCGAGCACTGAAATTTCATTGGGCATTTATGTGTAATTCCATGTATTGTTTAAAATTCCTCTATGAAACTCATGCAAGATTTCATGTAATTCAATAGAAATTTTACTGAAACTTCATGTAATTTCTCGAAATTTCATGTAATTCCCGAGGAACTAAAATTTAATGTGAATTCTAAGGAAACTCCGCAAAAAGTTCACATGTCACATTTCACACCATAAAATATAAGATTTCATAATATTTTTCCAAATTTCACCATAAGATTTCATGGAATTCCACAATAAAATTCAATGGAATTCTTGAACAAAAATTCCTCGAAATTACACTATGAAATTTCATGAAATTCTTCGGAATTCTACTAAAATTTCAAGTTATTCCATAGAAATTCCGCAAAAATTTTTAGTTATTCCATAGAAATTCTTTAACATTTCACTAGAAGATTTTATGGAATTCTTAGACCATTTTTTTTCGGAATTACAGTATAGGATTTCATGAAATTCCTCAGAATTCCACTAAAATTTAAATTTCAGAATTCCCTTTTTTTAACATTACTGAAATTCCTCAAAATTTCATTACTGAAATATCCTCGGAAATATCCTGGAATTTCACAAAATTTTCATAAAATTCCTCGGAATTTCGTTGACAATTCATGTAATTTCTCAAAGCCAAAGATTTCTTGGAAGTCCAATGAAACTTCAAGGAATTTTTCAAAATTTTATTTATTTTCATAAGAATTTTTCGGAATTTCACTGAAATCCTCTTCCTAATAGCCAGAAATTTCTGGGAATATTAATGAAACTTTGAGTAATTTCTTGAAAATTCACCGAAATATATTCAAATTTTATGTCATTACATGGGAATATCACCGAAATTCCATATTTTTAGCCGAAAATTCCTCGGCATTCCACTTGTGGAATTTTCTGGAGTTTCACTGAAATTCAGTAAGAACTGAAATTTCATGTTGGGAATTTCGGTGTAATTTCATATAATTGTTTAAAATTCCTCCATGCAGTTCATTTAGGATTTCGTGTAATTTGATCGGAATTTCATTGATAGGTATTTCATGTAATTCAAGAGGAACTAAAATTTAATGTGAATTCTATGGAAACTCCGCAAAAATTTCACATGTAATTCCTTTTTCAGAATAATATAATTGTACCGAAATTCCACTAAATTATAGACTTCTGAGAGACTTTGTCTTTAATAAATTATTGAGGATTCCAAAGGATTTTTGGGAATTTCTAAGAAAATATTTTTTAGGAATGTTAATGATTTTATGAGATTTTGCAGGATTTTTTTGGTTTTAATGAAATTTTGTAAGATTTTATAGGATTTTATACAACTTCAAGAGGTTTTGTTAAATGTTTAAGGATGTTAAAGATTTTTAGGGATTTTGACTAGATGTTATGAGATTTTTTTGGAACTTTGACCAACTTGTACACGGATTTTGACCAGTTAACAACCCCTCGGAAAACACATTATATGTGGATAAAAATACCTACATTCATTCTCTTTAATTTGTCTCTCTTCTTAATTTTGACTTTTGACTTTGGGCTTTCGAAGATATTTTCATAGCAAAATTATCTTAAAAATGCAGACAGCTTTGAAGATCCTTTTGCACAAAACTTAAAACAACCGTAGATTTTATTGTTTTAACAAAGTGAACATATGTATTTCCATCAAGTATCTTATCTATCGGCCAAATCAATCTCTCTTATCCGTCATATTTTAGAAGATTTATCGACAAAATTTCGATTGTCGCGAATCATTAAACCTAACTTAATGGAGCGATTAACTGGGTTCAGTAATAAGAACACACTCGATTTTTACAAAATCGTCATCCGTTTAGTTTAATAGGTACCATGGTACCATAAATTGGTATAAAGTGTGTGTCGTAACGGGACCTGACGAGCCTGACCTACTAAAATATTTTACGTGTTATATAACGCATTTCTTCTCAGTGGCGTACAGAAAACATAATTTTCGACCATAATTTATTTGCAAAGATGATAATTATTTTAGGTTCAAAAAGTTGTCGATGCTAAGTCAATTAGTCGGCGCTGATGTGCTGAACATGAATTTATTATGAATGATGGGAAGTGTGCGTGTTTCCTATGGTTTTAATTATTTGTCAAATTAATTGGTTAGAGACGAAGAGTGTAGAGTGTCTTGACTTGATTCATATTAAAATTGTAATGATTGCTGCGAGCAATCAACCTCTGCGATATTTCTAGAACAACTGAACCCACATTGATAATATTTCAACTGAGTGGTAGTGATAACGACGGTCACGTCACTTGCATGTATATTTCACAACTTCTAAAAATAATAATATACTGGAAAAGGTTAGAAGATAATTATTTAATTTGTTTTAGGTTCCACTAACGGCAGAAACATTCGAAATCTACCGTGCGTCTCAAGGAAAAACAACGGACTGAGCGGCGTCTGCATGTTCGCCATCGATTGTCTCAAAGCCAACGGCACCCATTTGGGCACCTGCATCGATAGGTTTTACTTCGGTTCCTGTTGTCACATCGAACCAATCAAAGAAATCGTCGAGAATAGTATCGAAACGAATATTATTGTATTGGATACTAGGCAGCCGCCACATCGGAGGCATAACGTAACGACTACTAGGCCGAGTACGCGACCCAGTACTGGCATGAGTACAGTAAGTTCAAATAAACAAAGAAGATAAACATTTCTAAAAAGAATTTTTCAATATTGATATAAATTATTCGAATTTTGAAAATAGTACTCTTCAAATATATGTATAATTTATTAATGTTATTGTAGAAATAATACATCATATACCTAGTGTGATGATAATGTCTAAAAATCGATAAACTATCTATTTTGTTGCAGACACAACCCAGTCAACCATTAACCAAATCACCATCCACCCCAACGACAACTATAAAGTACAGTAGCAGTACTCGCAAAAAAATTGTCCCCCAATCACCAAGCAGTACCACCAACACCGTAAACTTCAGCTCTTCAACATCCCCTTCAATTAGTAGTGAAGTAACCACGCCCATAGAAAAGCTCCAAACTTTCCAAAGTGTAGATGGTAGTAGTGAATCGACCACAACTAAGCTATCTACAGAACCTTCCAGAACTTCAACCAAAATACCTGCTACTAGTACAAAACCAAGACCTGCGATAACGGCACCATCGTATCCACCCACCAAGCTATCATATCTCCCGCTATCTTCCTCAAATCCTCCGCCATTTTCCTCGAATCCATCACCCCAGCCAAGTTCAATACCAACAAGAGGTACTTTAAAGCCAATTAAAACTTCAACGACTAATAAACCTGTGAGAATTAATACCAGTACCAGTACAAGAAGGCCTTTTACGAGTACTACCAAAGCAACTAACACTAGAAGAACAAGTACCCCTCCTAGTCAAACCAGCAGTACTAGGAGGTCGAGTACAAGACCTACTAGGCGTGGTACCAGGCCTAGTACGACGACTACAACAAGTGAGTAATCAGCCAAATAATTTTCTATGGGGCATCTTTTAGCAAAAAACTATCATCATCAAAATACTGAGCTAAATAATCCCAAGGATGAGTATTATATTATTCAAACAGAAAAAGTAAACTCATTGGCAGCTGGTACTGAATACTTCAGCTAATACTAGCAGGAAATTTTTTTCAAATACCTCTCAACTATGTTTTCCATGGAATTTGATTAAAACACATTTTTTTCGTTGAATAATTAAACCACATATAATTACATAAGCAATTTTTCTGTTATAGTTAAACCAATAACAACCAAAACTACCACCAAGAAACCTCAAGTGGTTCTTACGAAAAAACCTACTGCATTAGGTAGTACCTCAACCAAACAATCATCATCAACAACCACGTCACCCACAACCACCACTACCACTACCACCACTACAACCACAACCAGCAAGCCAGTACTAACCTCACAAGCAACTACCATGGTTCCGTCATCAACAACAGTTTCTTCGCCAGAGGTACCAGTGAATACCACTATCCAGTCCAGTGTAGAGCAACCAGTTATATCACAAATATTGGGTTCCGTGAACCCTGCAACCAATGAAGTGATTGAGAGTGGCTTATTGACAGTTGAAAGTAGCACTACTGAGAAACCTGCAAGCAGCAGTACTGTTGCCGGATCAACAACAAGTACTAATGAAACCAGTACTACTAGTAGTAGTAGTAGTATGGAAAGCGTTACTATTACAACTACCGGACCAGGCCTGGTTACGTGGACCGTTGAAGATACCAAAAATCATACCGATGTTCAAAAAAATGATACAATTGTAGCTGCAAATGTAACTGAAGGTAATCTTAAATTTACATTGTTTTATCCCGTGAATTTAATTCGATGTAACTTCTATATTTTAATGGGCAAGAAAAATTTCATTTGCGAAAAAATTCGGTGGCATCATGTTTTTTCCAGTTACTGGCTAAGATCTTGCCCTTAGTTTGTCATTCATAATTCATGAAGAATTATGTACAGGGTTATTTCAAATCGAGCTAAATCATTGGGATCTCGGAAATGGTGAGAGATACAGGGTTGGTTGAATTGGGACAAAGTTGCATAATTTGATGCTTATAACAAAATGCCGCTTTAATATCTAGGATATTCCGAATACTTCCGGAGATATCCGGAAAAAAACTGAAATTTTGCAAAATTGTTTCTATTTTTTCTTGACTTTATTTAAAACGATACCTATTTAAAAAAAATCACTTCGTCATGGCAACTTTTTCTCCCCTACAAGATGCTGATTTCAAATTTAAAAAATGACGTTTCGTCTTTGGGCCACCATCATCAACTCCATTTTTTTAAATACGGACCTTTTTTTTTTGCCAATTTGGGGATTAAAGCACTAACAATTTTTTTTGCGAAATTCCTGTACTAATAGATGGCGCTAAATTATGCGAAAATAGCAATACCCATGTCTGCCGAACCCAATGAACAACAAAGCCAGTTTGTTGGGATTAGTTTTTGTTAAATTAAGTTTTGTGGCGTTTTTGTGATTATAAAACAGAAACTATACATAAAAAGAATAATATGGTTCACCTCAATCGAAGCACAATTCCACTCTCGGAAAATTACATCTGATTCAACAAAGTCGTCGCACGCCTTGACCTAGAAACAATTTCTGTTGTTGAGAACATTGTTGAGAATCCACCAGCAACAGATCAGATAAGTATGAAGCACTAAAAGACGCCTTGTTTAACCGCTTCTCTGTCTCACAAGAAGTGCAATTTAATAAACTGGTTTCTGGTCTTGAACTGGGGCATAAACGACCCTCAGAACTTCTTACAGAAATGTCCAAGCTAGGTGGAACCGAAACTTTTTGAAAACTCTCTTGACTGATCGTCTTCCACAACTAGTGTAATTTGCCCTTGCTGCAGTAGATGATTTAAGTAACGCTGCTTTGGCACAGTTGGCAGATAAAGTGATAGAAATCCAGAGAAACACTGTGCCAGGGTACATAATGGCCGTTTCACAAACCCAAGGAAACAATGCCTTGGAACAAAAAGTGCAGGAATTGACCAAACAAATACAAGTATTGACCAAAAAAGTAGACAATTTGTGCCTCGCAGTGCGACACCACGTCCACCGAACAGCTCAAATGATGCAAGTGAATCCCCAGAAGTCTGCTATTATCACCGCAGGTTTGGAAAGAATTCGGCCAAGTGCTCAACTCATGCAAATGGAAACCAGAGCAGGTAAACGTCAACGACCGTTTAAAGCTTCGGCAAGTGCTGGCAGTCGACAAACCCCTCGCCGACTAATTATTCAAGATCGAATTTCAGGAACCCAGTTCTTAATCAACACTGTTGCGGACATTTCTGTAGTTCCAGCAAGATCAGCGGACAAGGTGATGCCAAAACAACGCAAAATTTTTGCTGCGAACAATACGGAAGTACAAACTTATGGGGAGCGTGCATGCGATTACTCTAAATATTAGACTACGTCGACTACTCCATTGGGTGTTCTGCATTGCAAATGTACCATATCCCATCATGAAAGCAGATCTCATTCATAAATACGGATTCCAGGTGGACCTAAAAAATGGACGACTAATCGATTCAAATACACATACGGTCCAGCTTCAATCACTTCAATTCATGCAGTCACAGACAACACGCGGTACACGGCAATTCCTGAACTAATGGGAAACCCATTCAATGGTACAGTGAGCAAACATTCTGTTAAGCCTACATTCCCACGGTAGGACCTGCGTGTGCTCAGCGAGCAAGGCCACTATGCCCAGTGGGATTAAAAGTTGTCAAGGACGAGTTCAGACTCATGGTTGAATTAGGTTATGCCAGACCATCCGATAGTCTTTGGGCCAGTCCTTTGCACCTAATCAAAAAGAAAAATGGAGACTGGCGACTGTAGGAAAATTACCGCAATGTCAATGCAAAAACAATCCCTGACAGTATCCAGTACCATTAATCCTAAACTATTCTTCAATGCTCACATAGGAAATAGCATACTCTCAAAAATTGATTTTCGAAGAGCATTCCACCACATACCAGTAGCAGAAGAAGACATTGCCAATGACTGTCGTTATAACGCCATTTGGACTCTTTGAGTTCCTCCTCATGCCTTTTGACCTCTCAAGAGCGACTCAGATTTTTCAACGCTTCATAAATGAAGTATTAAATGGACTTGACCTCATTTATGCCTATGTGGATGACTTAATAATTGTTTCTTAAGCATGAACAACACCTAAGTAAATACGGACTATGTATCAACGCAAAGAAATGTGTGTTTAATCAACCAAGTGTGGATTTCCTTGGCTATCGAATCACAGCAGAAGGATCATCACCATTACCAGACTGTGTTCAAGTTCTTCTTGATTATCCAAAACCCTCAACAATCGTAGAACTGCGACGATTTATTGGCGCAGTAAATTTCTATAGGAGACACATGAAAGGAGCGGCTGAATCGCGTTATTCACTGAACGAGTTGCTAAAAGAATTTGAAAAAAATATAACAAAAGACCACTTTCATGGACACAAGACACTGAAGCAGCATTTGCCCAAGTTAAACAGCAACTAGCTAACGCGACTCTACACTCCCATTTAGTGATCGCAGCCGAAGTCCGTCTCACCAGTGATGCATCAAGTACAGCGCTAGGGTCGGTATTGGAAAAAAGCGTCAATAATAATTGGGAACTCCTGGGATTCTTCTCAAAAAAAACTCTCGCCTACTCAGAAGAACTACAGCACATACGACAGAGAGCTCACTGCCATCTATGAAGCTGTAAAGTACTCCCAGCAATGGGTTGAATACCGAGAATTCACCATTAGAACCGACCACAGGCCTGTCACATTTGCTTTTCAACAACGTGCTGACAAAACTTCACCAAGACAAATCAGACACTCAGCTACATCAGTCAATTTACAATCAACCTACAGTATTTGCGGGCAATGGAAACAATGTGGCAGACGCCTTATCCAGAATGGATGCAATAAGCTGGCCGTGGCACAAGAAGCCGATGATGAGCTGAAAGACATTTTAAAAAACAACCAAGCCTCACTAAAGTTCCAGAAACTCACATATGGAGCAGACCATCAAGGTGTCTACTGTAACGTATTCACCAATGAAATTAGACCCTTCGGACCACAAGCGTTGCGCTGCCAACTCTATGATGTTTTCCACAACTTGGCACATCCCAGTGGGCGAGTCACTCACAAGATGGTTTCTCAACAAAGATGGGCTCGAAAAGGCTTGCCATGTCAGAAATCAAAGGTAGGACGCCACGTTCACGTGCAATCTGCAACCTTTCTCAACCCCGATCACGTACACGTACACGACCTGGTGAGACCAATGCCAGAGTCTCAAGGTTTTCGATACTGCATGACAATGATCGACTGTTTCACAAGATGGCCTGAAGCAATACCCATAAAAGACATCACAGCAGACACAGTGGCCAACATATTCTTCAACCATTGGATTTCGCGATTTGGAAGCCCCAAAATAATCACGACTGACCAGGGATCACAATTTGAGAGTGCTCTATATACTGCGCTGTCGCGTTAAGTTGGTGGCGAGCGCAAACGACATCCAGCATCTAATAGAATGATAGAGAGGTGGCATCGGAATCTCAAATCATTAATAATGTGTCAATAACATCCTCAGTGGACTTTGGTACTTCCAACAGTTCTACTTGGACTCAGGTATAAAGAAGATATCAAGGCATCTCCAGCGGAATTCATGTATGAAACAACACTGAGAATCCCTGACGATTTCTTCACTGACGAAGACCTACCAGAGGACCCACAGTATTTCTTCGAAGACTCTCGCATATATATGAGACACGTAAAGCCAATCCCGGCTGCTCACCACTGTCGCCAAAAGACCCTCTGCTACAAGGATTTATACACCTGTACACATGTTTTTCTTGTGAGACCTCTTGGACAACCATATACAGGAACACACCCAGTAATTAAAAGGCTGGATGAGAGAGTATTTCGAATCAACGTTAACGGCAAAGAAGTGAACGTTAACGTCGAAAACTGAGGACGTTTTCGACCCTACAAATTTATTCATAGTACCCACAACAGACCCTACACAACCATCCATCTCAACAAACACAGGGCTTGAGAACATATGAAAGGAAAAAAAAAGTCAAAATAGATTTTAACAAAAACTAGACAATAGCAATTATTTCACATTCATAGAACATCAACTGTTAAATAGCAAGTATTCTATTTTCTGAATCTCATGATTGTGTACTATATTTTATACCTATGTTTTTGTATCATTTTCTATGAACCACTCCATTTGGGGGGAGTACTGTAGGGATCTGCCAGCCAATGCTACCAACCTAAGAGAGATAACCAGCTGTTGGAAGGATGTGAAAGCGAAAGTGTGCAAAGATAAATAAAAAGTGTTTTGTATTGTGTGTTGCAGATCCGCACAACCTTTCGCGAATCTGTAACAGAGTTGGACGTTGGTGCTTGCCTTGTTCCTGCTGGGTGTGAAGTAAGCAGGCGATTTAAAAAAAAAAACCTAAATACCTATCTTCAAAAATACAAAAGTAGCTAATTTGAGGATTGAAGCTCATTGAAGCCTTAATGAAGCGCTAAACGATTACGTAGAATTTAACTATTGTGCTGCTCTGATGTGAACTTGTGAAGCCAATTTTTCGACAGCGCATTTTTTTATATTGTGGTTTTTGAACTTACATTTTCTGCCGATTATAGCGACAGCAATCTGTTAATCAGTTGTTTAACACGACTTTTTATAAGTGTTTTTTTTTTTTTTTGATAGAAGGTAGATTTATGGAATGCTGGTATGTTTTGTATTCCACTAGTATACCATAATGGAATGCAGTATAAAATTGCTCTTAATTTTTAGCTGCCATATCATTGCCCTCTAGGCAACTATTAGGGATCCATTAGTTTCTTAATAAAACTTCTAGCAGCTCCAGATTGTTTTAGAGTTGCAAACGGTGAA